CCTCGATTAAACATACACAAGTTTAGCTTTTATTTAAAAGTAATATTGCCACCGACGATAAAGACATTACATTTTCCCCCTTTTAGCCCACTTGGTTTTCAATTATATATGCATACAATACAATATAATATAATATATATATATACATATGCATACATGTATGTATGTATATGTGTACGCATGCATACATATCATAGACAAACTGCATGAGAATTAATTAAGTTTCTTAAGCCATTTTCTGTGGACTATCATTCGAGTGAATTAAAACTATGATTGGCTTATATAATATATAATTAAAGATATCATGTGTACGTATATGAAAATTGCGATATAAGGTGTTATATATCACTTGGATATAGTAGTTAAGATGAACAGCAGGCGTGGTGTGGGAAAAGAAGATAGCAACAATTGTAGACTTGTTAATTTGTCTCATCTTCTTTTAAAAATTTCAGATTTATTTTTGAAAAAAAATAAATAAATCTTGTCCTAGAAAAAGAAACACCAAAATTCTGATTAAGACAACTTACCAACATAAACCGGAGCTTACTGGCATGTACTAATTGACAAGATTGTCTGCTTATTATTTTGATTATATAAATCTGATTCTTACTGTACAAAAATAAAAATTCTAATCCACTAAATTAATGTTTAAAATTTAGCATTGATTGAAGAACATTTATATAATTGTTAAAATCCAAATTTAAATTAGATTCATGTTTTTTTGGGGAATAAAATTGGATTCTTGATGGTATTAATCACATAAAATTTTTAGATTTTTTTATATATTTATTTTTAAGTCACGTAATAAATATAATATAGTAAATTCTATAGTCACTTTTATTATTATATATCTTTATCTTTCTCGTACTTAAAAATTAAAGATATTTTTTTTTATACATCTCGAGATTAACGTGAAAAAGAAATTCCAAATATAAAATACTATATAATGGTTGACAAAAAAGAAAAATGGTGACCAAGAAAAAATAAAGAGGAAAGTGGCAGAAAGAGTGAGGTTTGATTTGAAATGAGGCCACATGCAAATGTAGAAGAAAGAAAAAGGCAATATATATGTGGGCATGTATATATAGCAGCTATACATACATACATACATATATGGATGTATGTATGTATGTATGTATGTATTAGATTTAGGGTTGAGGAAGAAGAATTGAAATTAGGAAATTAAAAGAGGTAAGAGAGATCATGTGAAGGCATTTATATAGTGGGGTTATATTGTCTTGTTGGGTAGTGGCACATGGAGAAAGAGTCCTTCTTTAGGTAGGTGTAAAAAGGCAAAACACCATGTGAGGCCATGTGCCCAGCTCTCAATACAACCAACTCCAAGATTTTCCTATCACAATCTTTTATATCCATACATATATACTTACACTTTTTTTATAATTATATCTACCTATTTATAATACCCTACACCCAATTACCTCTTAATTTGATCCTTCTTTACAGATCATCCAAATTGAAATTCTGCTCTTGACTTGACAACTCATTACATAAATTATCATTTTCATTTATTTGATACACATAAGTTATGAATTTATTAACATGAACTCATGATTACTGAAATTAAGAAGATTTTCTTAGGAATAAAAGAATTTTTATAAACATTCTCACCATTTTGATTGAATTAAAAGACAGATTAACAAATTTATGAATGTTTTTTTTATAATTTAGATTTGGATTTTAAACTAGGTAATTATACAAATAAATTTTTATGTGTATGATACGAATACACTGAAATTGATAAGAAAATGTTCTTCATATTTTAATAAATTTGATTATAGATAATAAGTTCTAAATAGATTAAGTAAAAAAAAAAAAAAAATTGTATCTTGAAAACTATTAAAAAATTAATCACAGTGTATTAAAAAAACAATGTAAAGAAATATTTTTAGGCCTAAAAAACAATATTATATTACATTAAAAGAATTAATGAACCATGATGTTGATAATGAATTTGAATTTCCTTGTAACTCCAATTATTATTCTTGTGGGGTGGACTCTCTACATGTCAAAGTCTGTTTGGTGGAGAATAGGGTTTTAGGGAGGGAAATTTAGTAACCCTAACCGGGATAAGATATCACAGTACTTCCAACCCATAACATCCACCAATCCTTTGTTTATAATTCCCCTCTACCTCTCTATCTATTTCCTTCATCATAATCTCTATACTTCTCTTCAACCCTAGCTACAAAGCTCTCTTCTTTTTCTCTCTCTCCAACATTTTCTTCAAGGTAAGATATACATATATACATTTTATATACATTTACATCCCAAACCCACTTCACTATTGTTCTCTTTTCTGCACATATGCATCAATACTTACACAAATACATTTGAAATAATATATTTTGTGTTTGGTTTTTTTATGAATAGATGGAGATGATGAGCAAACGACGTCGTCGCATATATTCTCCGGAACCAAGCAAGATAATGAGAGCCAACTTTGCCAGAAAATACGTGAATTACTTGCTGCCAGCTTTAAAGCAGATCGGGCGGAGTACTCGCCCTCCTCCTACTGTTTCTCATCACGAAATCTCTGATAATAAAAATGGCGATCACCACGAGCTGGAGAAAATGGTGAGACGTGAAGTTGACATGGCAATGGTGCTGTCCACAGACGAAGAAGGGTTTGCATGGAGTCACGCTATGAAAGCAAAGCTCCAACAGAGCGAAGAGTGTCGCAGTGGTAATGATGATGTAAATTATCCAGTGTCGTCCATGGGCGATAACCAGAAGAAGATCGAGGTTGATGATGATGGTGGTGGTGGGGTGAAGAGGTGTAAGAGAACAGATCAAAAGCTGTCAAAAGAAAAGAAAGAAGAAGAAGAAGATGATGAAGATGATGATGATGATGAGGAGGAGGAGGAGGATGAGGAGGAGGAGGAGGAATATGTTAGCAGAGGATTGATGAATCTGAGAAGTGTTTTGCCGGGAGGAGATGAGATGGATATTGAAGAAATGCTGATTGAAGTTGGAAGCTATATTGTCTGTCTGGAATTACAGATGGATATTCTTAAATTTCTGGTTGAATCAAGTTAATTCTTCTTCCTAATTTTTAATTTGTTTAATTACTCAAATTATAGCATGTATATTTTATGTATTTCATAATTCTATCAGGAAATCAGGAAAAGCTTGCATATAGATATAATGTCCTTATTTTATTGTCAATTTTTTTTTTTTTGTAAATTATATATATGTATAAAACATACCAGAATCTGAGCTTTAACTAATTTAATTTTTCTCTCTTTGAATACATTTAGGGCTTAGAAAAGGGAAATGAGGGTTAAGAAACTGTTATTTTTATGTGGGAATCAATTAATCAATTATATATTATAATATTTTTGACAGAACTATGATTAACATATATGTGTGTGTGTTTGTGTGTGTATATATATATATATATATATATATAGATTGATTGAGTAAATGATGAGAGGAAATTAACAGGAGATGCATGTGGATATTAATGTGGGTTTGTTTTTTTATACATATTTCCTTGAACTGCAGATGGTGATTTGATAGTATACAGCATACAAATACTGTGCAGATGTAAAATGCATAAATCTAGCAAAAAGAACATTAATGTATCATTAATTCAGGTTTTTTCAATTATTTTTTATTGGTATGCGCATGCTATCCCACATTTTCTTAATATTATAATATATAGATATATATATGTGCTTTCAAGCTAGTTTTTTTACTGTATAATTAATTATATTACATATGTCAGAATGTAAGTTGGAACTTTGTATACTTGATTTTGTCTTATTGTAATTTTAATTATGTTCTTTTATGAAGGTTTATTTTTCCCTTATATAAAATTATAAAATTTTAAAATATTTTTTAATTTATTATATTTGGAATTTCTACTTATTCATGTTTAAAAATTCAAACACATTGATGTTTTTTTTAAAAAAAAAAAAAAAAAAAAAAAAAAAAATTGTTTTCTTGTAAAAAAAAATGAAAATATTAAAAAATAGATACTAAATTATTACAAATATCTAAATTTTAAATTTTAATAAAATTATAAAGAGTGAATTGTAACTTTTTATTTATGGGTGTTGTCATGACTTGAGTTTATCCAGACACAGAAATTGCGACAATGAGGACACTACAAATGGGCCTTAAGGGGAGAACTCATGGTTCTGTAGAACAAATACAGAATTTATTGGCAAAAGCAGCACAACTATTATTATTATTATTATTAGCATTTTTCTTAAAGAATTACAGTTATTGTTATTGAAAGAAATATAACTCACTCTAATAAAATTCAAATCATCTAATAATTTTTCAAAAAAGATAATATTCAGAAAAAGCTTTTTGAGTTAATATTTTAATTACTGACTTCACAATAGTCCAACCACAAATTTCTTTAAATCAAGTCTAATACTCATGGAAGAAAGTTTAGTTTCTTAAAATTGAAGTACGAGCATGATTCTAAAATAAGTCATTTGATGTGTTTTAATCACGTTTTTTAATTTTCTTTAGGAGAATCTATTTAACCAGTCAACAATACCTCCTTGAGGTAAATTGAATTGTATACTAGTTTTTACTCATTGCTTAAAAATATGTTTAACTCCTTAGTAATATATAAAATATATTTTGAGATTTAGAACAACTAGCAATTCAAGTGATGAAGAAATTACCAATCAAATTCAAAACTCTTTAATATATGCAACGAAGGAAGGAAGAAGCAGAATAGAGGCCAGAAGAAAGTGTGTGACAAGTAGCAAGTACTTTGCTCCTTAAATGGAGTTAAAACAAAGTAGCCAAAACATAAATTAAACCCTTCCTTCTGGAAATAATACATAACAGAGGAAAATAAAACAAGAAGGGGGGAGAGTTATAACAATAAACAATGCTCTCCCCATTTAACATGTCTTCAAAAAAAAAAAAAAAAAAACTAAATTAGCCCTTCTCTTCATATTTCCATTGAACAACATCCCTTCTCTCTCTTTCTCTCTCTCTCTCTCAACAATTCTTTGTTTCGCAGGTCTCTACACGGTGTAGTGTTGCTGGATTGTGTCGATGTCCAGCCCCTTCAGCTTCACAACAGATTCTACATGCCCCTTGAGTGTGTGAAGCTCCCGAAGCCTGTAAACACATAGTGGAAACATAATGTTTACTGTTATATTTTGTACTATCAGAGTGTTTCACAAATTTTTTTTTGGATAAAATATGAGTTTATAAGTTCTTCTACAGAGTTTTAGATCTTGTTATATGTTTAGTAAATAACAAAAAAATATATATACATATTTTTCTAAAAACTTGTTGTTGGACAAGTAAAAAGACCAAAATGGATCTTCACAATTTTAAAACTGTACAGGGTTATTAATTAACTTTAAGGGGAACCAGATACATTATAGACGAGCAATTTAATATCAAATATCCTCTCAAGAACTCAGTAGTTTGTTTGCATACCTTGCGACCTCAGCTCGTCTCTTGGCCTGCTCAGCAATCTCAGACAACTCTCTGTAGCTACTCTTATCATTGAACAGATTAGTAGCTTCTGGTGGTTGGAGCCCATGTAAGGTTCTCTGAGCAAGTGCCCATTGAGCTTCCCTCTCCTCTTTACCATAATCCTTCTTGGTGGTGAAAGCAGTCTGTTATAATAGAAGGAAAAAGCTGCTTAGTTAGTTTAGGCAATTGACATAATTATTTGAAAAGATATAATGAAGTTAAGATCGATTTCTATACCTTGTTCTCAAGCAAATTGAGCCAGGCCTTCCCACTCAAGATGTAACGAATGGCAAACTTCATCAAGTCCAGTGGGACATAGAAAACAACACTATAAAGCCATATGACACCAGCCCAACCCCAGCCAATTCCTTTAATCTTAGCAAATCCCCAATTAGCATATACAGCAATCAGGGTTGCCACCTGAGAGAAACACAAGGGATTAGCTGCTGCTTATTCTACCAAATCCTTTTCCTACCAATTCAGCAAAGCACAGAGAATGCAGTTAGTGTTTTGAAAGATTCTTACCAGTTGTGCAATGATGAAAGCAGTGACCAGAAGGAGTCCAGGGCGTTCTATGAAAGACCAGCTGCGTGACCGAGTGACAAAAATTAGAGCCTGGCTGATAATACTCACTTGTAGATACAGAGCAGCCATCATTTCATGGTCCCTATGCCTCAAAGATCTCACGCCAAATTTTTCCTGCATGTAACAGATTATAAATATGTTTACATTTGTATACTTACAGCTAAATATAAGACGACAAAGAAAAAAGTAATATATCATACAGTGAAGAAATCTGTGTCATGCATCGCCCAGAAGAATATGACAGTCATTAGAGCCAAGTAGCCTCCAAGAACAATTCCAGTAGCAAAAATCTCTTTTAGTTTCCAGCTATCCGGCAAGGGAGATGGCTTAACTCTGTCCTTTGAGATAGTCATAATTGTACCTAGTACATACATAATAATGGAATGTGTCAGGACCAAAACTATTAAATTGACCATAAAAAAGAGCAAGAGGAAAGCTAGAACATTTGTGAAAATACACTTGGTTAAAACTCACCATCATTTAGAATGGCAATAATCAAAACCATGAATGGCGCAAAGTCGAATTTCCATATCAAAGCAATAAACATAAAACCAAACTGCAAAATTTGATAACAAACGATCAGGAAAAGATGACAGATCAAGAGCAAGAACAAAGTATCATCCAGTGACAATGTCATTGTGAAGCAATATAAATTAAAACCAGGAATATTTCACTTACCACAATACGAATTGTGATCGAGACTGCATAAATCTGTAAAGAGAAAAACAAGAGAGTTAAAATATGTTCACTCAAGATAAAAACTGAAGGATGCTAAGGAAGCAACTAACAGTATAGTTCTTCATTCTCTGGAAAATAGCTCTACTGGTCAGCACTGCACTGATAATAACACTTAAACCAGGCTCTGTAAGAACAATATCTGAAGCACTTCGTGCAGCATCTGTAGCATCAGCAACAGCAATACCGATATCTGCCTTCTTCAAAGCAGGAGCATCATTAACACCATCTCCAGTCATTCCACAAATGTGTTTTCTCTCCTGTAATTTCTTCACAATCTCGTATTTGTGCTCTGCAGTGAGTAAAAATTCAGAGCATTAGAAAGATAAATTTTGCTGTCAATTTTTGAGATAACAGAGTTTTTTGTTAGTGATTCAACAACAGTGCACCTACCTGGAAAGACACCAGCAAACCCGTCAGCTTTCTCAATCAACTCTTCTACAGGAAGGGCAGCTATGCTTGCATCCTTATCTTGACCAAGTAAGGAGGCAGAGGGATACATATTTGTTCCCATTCCAAGTCTGCGGCCAGTTTCCTTTGCAATGGCAAGTTGATCACCTAAATCGTTAAAGTAGAAGTAAGCCAAAAAGTAGAGGAATAAAAAGATGATTCACGTTCAACATGGACACAAATGATCAAGGGAGTCAAATACCAGTAATCATCTTGACATTAACACCAAGATTGAGAGCCCTGCGAATGGTTTCTGCACTATCATGCCTAGGAGGATCAAAAAGATTCAACAAACCAACAAATTGCCATGGAGCACCAGGGCTTTCTTTCGTTCTCTCAGGTACTTCCTGGAAATACATAACAAAGAATCAAGTAAGGGGGTTCTTGGTTATGAATGGAAGGGAAACAATAATTGAGACCTCATAATGCCACTAACCTGTCTAGCCACAGCTAATGACCTCAAACCACGTTCAGCAAACTTATCAATAACACCATGAACCTTCTTTTTGAGGTCTTCCTTGGCGTTGCAGAGGGTCAAGATCTGGAATAAGGTAATGAGTTAGCAAACAGAAAAAGTTCTAATAACATTATAAATTTCCATAACTAAGTGAATATAGTTGGGACAAGGTCAATGACCTGCTCCGGGGCACCCTTGCTAGCCCTGTGCCAGTTGCCATCACTGTCAATGTATGTCAAAGCAGTTCTCTTGTCCACCGGATTAAATGGTAAGAAATGGACTTCTCTAATACCAGCGCGTGCCTGAGTAAATTGTACACAAGCACTTAAAAAGGATTTCTTCTTGAAGGAACAAGCAAAAACAAAATATGGGAGGAAAATGAAGAGACAAATTGTACCTCTTTTGGATCAGCAAGCATTCCAACAAGGGCTGCATCGATAGCATCCTGATTTTCTGTCCTGGAGGCTCTTGCAGCAAGCAGCAAGACATGTTCTTTGTCCACACCCTTTACAAACACCTCAATCAAGTTTTTGTCAACACTCAACTTGTTAAGAGTTAGTGTCCCAGTCTTATCACTGCAGAGAACATCCATACCGGCCATTTCTTCAATTGCAGTCATACGTTTAGTGATGGCACCCTGCTGAGACAGCCTGTGAGACCCAATAGCCATCGTCACGGACAAGACAGTGGGCATAGCAATGGGAATCCCACCAATCAAGAGAACCAATAGGTTGTCAATTCCATCCCTGTACTTGCGGTGTTGGATTGGGTACATGACTATGATTTCAACCAGCATACCGACTGCAATGGAACAAATACAGAAGTTTCCGATGGCTGTAAGCACCTTCTGGAAGTGACCAACTTGATTAGTGCTATCCACAAGATGTGCAGCCTTTCCAAAGAATGTATGTACACCAGTGGCGATAACAACAGCCTCAATTTCACCTTGTTTGCAAGTAGAACCAGAGAACACTTCATCCCCTGGATTCTTTGTAACAGGAAGGGATTCTCCAGTGAGTGCAGATTGATCGACCTTCAAAGGATCACCCTCAAGGAGACGAGCATCAGCTGGGATGATATCCCCCAGTTTGATGCTAATGATGTCTCCAGGAACCAGAATTGCAGCCTCATCCTCACTCCATTTGCCATCCCTAAGAACCTAGACATACACCAGAAGTAAACATCAGAAGAGTTGTGCAGAATTATCTTCTAAGAGAGGAAGACACTTCATTCCTATACAACTTAATATGAAATGAACTCATTTTTAATTTCCAATCATAAATTCTCGTAAAACCATGAATAAGATGAGATTATTCTCATGCTTCCGCTTAAAAAGCTAGTAGCTTGTGTTGTGCAAATGTGCTCCTATCTTGAAGATTCTAAATTACAAAATTAAAATGCACAACCATTTTCAGAGAAAGAAGACAAGTTAACTGCCTAGATGCCCATATTAACGATTACAACTCCATTACCTTAGTTTTAGGAGCAAGACCGGCCATAAGAGCAGCAGCAGCATTACCAGCATTGTTTTCTTCAATGAAACTGATTGTGGAGTTGATTACCAGCAAACAGATAATACCAACAAAATCTTGCCAATCCGGGGGCTTGCCTTGACCATTAGCCAGCGCAATGGCCATTATAGCAGCAGCCTCCATGACCCAGGAGAGCGGATTCCACATGAAACCCAAAAACTTGAGAAATTTGCTTTCCTGTCATTTTTGTATGATATAATAAGTTTCATGACCAATAAATTTATATATAAATTCATGAAGAATTCAAACAGAATTATTGAAGTCATTTTGTCACAGTATACTTCATGAGAATCAATTATATAATACCTTCTTCTCTTCTAGTTTGTTGGGTCCAAAGATCTGAAGCCTGTTGGCTCCTTCCTCTGAGCTCAAACCTTCTCTGGTACATTTCAGCTGGGCAAACACTTCCTCAATTGGAACTCGTTCCTGCAAAATCAAGTAAGCATCAGAAATTTTGATTTCTCAAGTTCACAATTGTATCAACACTTGGGTTAGATACACATATAATATGTAAATATTCATAAAACATACTTGTATAATTAAACAGAGCTTAGTTTTGTTTGGATTTCATAATTGCTTCGATCTGTTAACTAACAATTGCCTCAATCTGTTAACTGAAAATTTTTTGGTCCTAATCGTTAATTAATTTTACCCTAAAATAAAATGACTAGAGAGATTGACGATCGAGTCAGACTGAGCCGACTCGCGACTCAGCGGATGATCAGGCCTAGCCTCCTTGGGAAGGCAGGCTGAGGCAGCCAACCAAAAGAAAAGCGTTGACTGAGGAAGGGACAAAGATAAAAAAGTGCTGCGTCAGGGTGGGGACATGTCCCCACTTTCTCGCCACATGATTGGGTCGTGATTTTCACGCGTGAAAGATTCCCGATAAAAAGGCGTATAGGACGCAGCGTAAATAGGAGAGATAGCGAAGGGTAGTTCAGTCAAATCAAGGCAAAAAAGAATTTTGTGAATCCGAGAAAAATTAATGTAGATTATGAGGAGAGAGAGAGAGAGAGAGAGGGAGAGTGGGTGTCAGTACCGTTGAACGAACGTGAGAGTAACTAAAAACGACACACCATTTTATTTTTTCTCATCCCAAACAGAGAAAAAGGCGAACGTACTACGGAAAAAAGTACTTAAAAATTCCCGGGACTTCACATAAACAAACAGAAAGACCAAAAAAACAAAAAGTAAACCAACACAAATATTGATATAACCATTAATTAATTAATTTAAAATTTATTTACATTTTTTTTTCTTTTGAATTTATTTGGGATTTTGGAATATCATAATAATAATTTTATTTGAAATTTAACTCCCTCTCCCTCTCCCTCTCTCTCACTTCACATGTTCAGATCTGTTCTGAAGAACTTACCCCCGAAAACAAAAAGGTCCGTTTGGCCTACCAAATATATGGTGATTAAATGGTTTATATAAAACAAAAAGTGAAATTCTTGTCTCCAATAATTTTTCTATTCAAACATAATGAGACCTACAAGCAAAAATCATCCGCTTTCACCTCTTCCTTTTCTGATAAAATAAAATAAAATACAATTCAAAGGTTTTTTTTTTTCCTCTTTTTATTTCTATTTCCCCCGTAAATGAAAACAGAGTACTATTTCCTTAAGAGATTAAACTACAAAAGTATAAAAATAGAAATAGAATTATCCGATGGCTTTAGCAGAGTGTTGGAATCAAAATAGAATTCTCCTGAACTCATACTTATAAAAATAGAAATGAAAGTTATCCGACGGAGCGTGCAAACCACAATATGATTCAAGGTTCAGTCAAACCTAATTCACGAAAGGATAATAGAAACTCGGGGGGAAAGAAAAGAAAAGAAAAGTTTTCGTCGATCTTAATTGGACAGGACAACAAAACACTCAATCCCAATCGTCAGATAAAACAAAATTAAGAAAATAAATCTCGAGAAAGTCACAAGGAGAAAAATGAAGGAAAATTACCAGATCAACAGTCTCGTTCTTGATCTGCTCGAGAGTGATAACTTTATCACTCGCCATCGTTGCTCACCTCCGGTTAATCACCGCGGCAAAACAGAACAACCTAGATCTTTGAATCTGTAAAAGGAATGAAAAATTAAGCAGGAGAGGGAGGACTAACGAGTTGCAGAGATCATGTAGAGCGCAAGGAGAGCTTCAATGGAGGAGAGAGAGAGAGTTAATAAGCATATTGAATGAACCAGATATTTTCTTTCACTCTCCCGAGAAAAATAACACAGAGAAGAAATGAAGAGAGAGAGTAATGATTCTAGTGTATTGATTGTTAAGAGGCTTCTTGCAGAGAGCCTATACCTCTCTTTATATACCCTCTTAACGCTGGCTAGAGAGAGGAAGAGGAGGAGACAGACCATCCGCAGAAAACGACACATCCTCCGCCGTTTTACCCCCCCTATTGTAGGACCCACTTAGGATTACTCCTCATGAAATAATTCAGTGTTTTACATGAGTTCGTATTGTCTAATTGAAATAGCAATTTGTTAATAATAGGTTGTTTATAATTCAATTGGAATTACATATGATTTATGAAATAAATAGTTTTAAGAATAACTGAGAAATCAATTATTGAAATTAAATTAAATTAGTCAAACATTATATAATTTGTTCTAGATCCTCTTTTTTTTTTTTTTATTCTATAATTAAAAGTACTTGTGAATTAACTTTACACATTAAAAATAGATTAAAGACAAATTACCCATACAAAAATAATTATAATTTCATCATAAAAATATCAAACCATAAATTTAGTTAGGTGAGCGAGCTAAATTATCAAAATTAAACTTGATATATTTATATATATATTTTATTTCATTAAAATAATATTATTATTATCAAATTAATTTTTGTGAATCCGAAATTTATTTATTTTTTGGACAATTTTGAACGGATATTTTTTCATATTGAGACAAGGAATTCAAAAGTTTATTCCTAAAATATTATGAGTTTGAGATATGCAATCAAACTAAAAAAATATATTCTTAATTTCGAATTGAACTCATTTTTTATTGGTTAAATTTGAATGAACTGATGATGATGGTGGTGGTGGTGACATCATGTACGCGGCGAGTTCTTTTTTAATGGGCGCTAGCTTTGCAGCTTCATATTGCATTCATTTGATGGATGGATGGATGGATGGATGAGTTCCTCTGTGTGGGTCCCACACGGAAAATCTTATTTATTGTCAAGAAAATTGGCAATAACATTAAAAAAAAAAAAATTAATTGGCAATAAATCTCGAGGGCTTAAATATTTGTTATCCAATTTTATGCTATAATCATCACTCATATGGAAATTAATTTATGAGGAATAAGATTTTCATTCAAAATAAGATTTCACCATATAATCTCAATTTAATTAAATTAACCATTTTAATTATATTAAAATAATTACCAATACTTTGAACATGAAAAAAAAAAAAACAAATCAAATTTCATTACCCTAATTAACAATATAATCAAATTAACAACAAATTTCCAAATCAATTTATTTCACGATATTTAAAACAACACTGTAAACATATTTTTAATAAACTAGTATTACATGTACTTTTTATCATAGCTCCCCAATTTTTGGAACTATAAAAATTTAAAAAAAAAAGATGAAAATTACATAATTGAGATCATTATTTATAATTTTTTGATTATTTATATTTATATATACATATATACATAACAAACATAATGGGTCATGTACATGGCATAATAAGCGGATGAAGAGTGAAGGGAACGGCAGGGCACATGCAAATGCTCTGGATAATAATATATTTAAATAAAAAATATTACTGATAAATATGTTTCAATAATTAAAATATATATATATATATATATATATATATATATAGGAATAGGAAGATAATTGTTTAGTTTAGGGAGCATGAGAGATTGACTTTTAATTATTGTGGCCCCCACAATAATAGTACCTTAGAAAGTCGTCTCTCCTCGGCAGCCTCAACAGAAAATACTCTTTTTATTTTTCTTTTAAATATTTTTAGAGGAATTTTATTTTCTGAAAAGGAAAAAAAAAAACAATAATAAGGCGAGTGGGACCAGTTTTTCTGAAAACCATGACGTGTATCATCCTGGGTATGTCATATCTTGACCGTTGGATCCACTTTTTAGGCAATTCAACGCTGGAGATTTATTATTTTTGCTTTAATTAAGTTTTCAAATTTCTAAAATTGCTTTAATTACTATTTTTCTCATAATAAATTAATTATTTTCATGATTTTTTCCTTTATTGGGATACCCAAATATGAAACTTTCAATGAACTTTGAGAATCTTTTTTTTTTTTTCCCCCTCACCTTTATACCTTTAATTTCTACTTATAAAGATTTAGTTTAGGCATAAACTTTATAATTTATTCATCGAAGAAAAGTGAAAGAGAATAAAGAAAAACAAAAAAAACTGTAAAAGAACTATGTATAAAGCCTCCAAAAATTAATAAATTAATCTATTAGTATATTCAATTATATACATATAAAAATTATATATATATGTATGTGTATATATTGAAGTATGGCACTGGGAACTCTTATAAGGAGCCATGTTGTGCTTAGCCCAATGCAAGAACATA